TACTGGATAAGGGTGGGCAGTAAATCCAATGGCTAGTTTCCTGACAAGAAGAGTGGACACAGAGAGACACAGATATACAGAGGAGGGGCCCACGTGACTGTAGAGGCAGAGATTAAAATGATGTAGTTACAAGCCGAAGTATGCTAAGTATTGCTGGGAGCCACCAGGAACTAGGAGGAGGCAGGGAAAGCATCTTCCCCAGAAGTTTCAGAGGAAACATGGCCCTGCCAATTGATTTCAGACTTCTAGGATCCAGGACTATGAGAGAATAAAATTTTGTTGTCCTGAGCCACTCAGTCTGTTATCATTTGTCATGGCAGCCCTGGGAAACTAAAGGTCTAAAAACTCTATGCCTCTATGAATGAAGATGGGTGAGATGCACCTTATGGATCTTTGTGTTCCACAAGACTCTGCCTAGTTTCCCAGATTCAAAACTCTTAAGCAGCTGCGTCGTGGTTTGCACAAAGGGCTCTGTGGGCACCTCCTATAGTAGCTTGACAGTCTAAACTGCCATCCACAATGGTCCCTCTGCAGCTGGCTGATGGAGTGGAGGCCAGGTTGTGCAGCTTCTGTTGGGCTGCACTCAGTGAGTCCAGGCAGTGGTGAGGGCAGGCTGACATGGCAGGACTTGTCCTCTGCAAGTCCTTCCCACTGTGTCCAAGTGTCCTCCTCAGAGTCCTGGAAGAGGTCACATCTAGATGGAAGCTCTGACTGCCCCAAGTCCAGCTGATCACACCAAGGGCTGACCAGATCACACCGGCTGCTGCTCTGTTCTCAGCAGAAAGTCTCCACATGTACCTGTAGGGCAAAAGTTGCCACTAATGCTTGTTCACCTCTGTTGGCTCTTATTATTTTATTTCTGGCTTCTGAAGAAATCCTTTACTTCTCAACAGTTCTGCTACAGATTTTTAAACATTTAAAATGTTTTATTTGGCACAATAACTTGTGCTGTATTAAAAGGTTTTCTTTGAACATTTAGTCTATCAATTTGAGCCTAGCCACTGAGGGCTAGAAATCAGCTGGCCTTTGCAAAAAGGTAGTCGCAGTTAACCATGAACCACATTCTACTGAAGAAATATATGTAATGTATATACATATAAATTATACAGCCACTATACAGAACAATATGGAAGCTCCCTTAAAAACTAAAAATAGAATTACCATATGATGTAGCAATCCCAATCCTGGGTATCTACCTGGAGAAAACCATAATTCAAAAACATACATGCATCCCAAAGTTTGTTGTAGCTCTATTTACAATAGTCAGACATTGAAGCAACCTAAATGCCTATCAACATAGGAATATTAAACATAGAAATGGATAAAGAAGATGTGGTGCATATATACTATGGAATATTCAGTTCAGTTCAGTCACTCAGGCGTGTCTGACTCTTCGAGACCCCCATGGAGTGCAGCATGCCAGGCTACCCTGCCCATCACCAGCTCCTGGAGCTTGCTCAAACTCATGTTCATTGAGTCAGTGATGCCATCCAACCATCTCATCTTCTGTCATCCCCTTCTCTTGCCTTCAATCTTTCCCAGCATCAGGGTCTTTTCAAATGAGTCAGCTCTTCGCATGAGGTGGCCAAAGTATTGGAGTTTCAGCTTCAACATCAGTCCTTCTAATGAACACCCAGGACTGATCTTCTTTAAGATGGATTGGTTGGATCTCCTTGCTGTCCAACAGACACTCAAGAGTCTTCTCCAACACCACGGTTCAAAAGCATCAATTCTTCAGCGCTGAACTTTCTTTACAGTCCAACTCTCACATCCATATATGACTACTGGAAAAACCAAAGCTTTGATGAGATGGACTTTGTTGACAATGTAATGTCTCTGCTTTTCAATATGCTGTCTAGGTTTGTCATAACTTTTCTTCCAAGAAGCAAGTGTCTTTTAATTTCATGGCTGCAGTCACAATCCGCACTGATTTTTGGAGCCCCCCAAAATAAAGTCTTTCAGTTTCCACTGTTTCCCCATGTGTTTGCCATGAAGTGATGGCACCAGATGCCGTGATCTTAGTTTTCTGAATGTTGAGCTTTAAGCCAACTTTTTCACTCTCCCCTTTCACTTTCATCAAGAGGTTCTTCAGTTCTTTGCTTTCTGCCATAAGTATGGTGTCACCTGCATATCTGAGGTTATTGATATTTCTTCTGGTAATCTTGATTCCAGCTTGTGCTTCATCTAGTCCAGCATTTCTCATGATGCACTCTGCATACAAGTTAAATAAGCAGTTGACAATATACAGCCTTAATGTACTCCTTTCCTGATTTGGAACTAGTCTGTTGTTCCACGTCCAGTTCTATCTGTTGCCTCTTGACCTGCACACAGATTTCTCAAGAAGCAGGTCAGGTGGTCTGGTATTCCCATCTCTTGAAGAATTTCCCACTGTTTGTTGTAATCCACAGTCAAGGGCTTTGCTATAGTCAATAAAGCAGAAGTAGATGTTTTTCTGGAACTCTCTCACTTTTTCGATGATCCAACAGATAGATGTAGGCAATTTGATCTGTGGTTCCTCTGCCTTTTCTAAATCCAGCTTGAACATCTGGAAGTTCACAGTTCATATACTGTTGAAGCCTGGCTTGGAGAATTTTGAGCATTACTTTGCTAGCATGTGAGATGAGTACAATTGTGAGGTAGTTTGAGCATTCTTTGGCATTGCCTTTCTTTGGGATTGGAATGAAAAGTGACCTTTTCCAGTCCTGTGGCCACTGCTGAGTTTTCCAAATTTGCTGGCATATTGAGTGCAGCACTTTCACAGCATCATCTTTTAGGATTTGACATAGCTCAACTGTAATTCCATCACCTCCACTAGCTTTATTCGTAGTGATGCTTCCTAAGGCCCACTTGACTTCGCATTCCAGGATGTCTGGCTCTAGGTGAGTGATCACCCCATTGTGATTATCTAGGTCGTTACTCAGCTATAAAAAGGAATGAAACTGTGCCATTTGCAGAGATGTGGATGGACCTGGAGACTGTCATACAGAGTGAAATCAGAAAGAGAAAAACAAGTATCGTACATTAACACATATAGGTGGAATCTAAAAAAGTGATATAGATGAACTTATCTGCGAAGCAGAAATAGAGACACCAAACATAGATAACAAAGGTATGGATATCAATGGGGAAAGGGGCGAGGTGAGTGGATTGGGAGATTGGGATTTTATACAAATTCCCTGGTGGCTCAGACAGTAAAGAATCTGCCTGCAATGCAGAAGATCCAGGTTTGATCCCTGAGTGAAAAAGACCCCCTGGAGGAGGGCATGGCAACCTGCTCCAGTATTCTTGCCTAGAGAATCCCATGGACGGAGGAGCCTGGTAGGCTACAGTCCATGGGTCACATAGTTGGACATGACTGAAGCTATTGAAAAGGAGCACAACGGATAAAATAGAGAGCTAATGACACAGGGAACTCTACTCAGGGCTCTGTGGTGACCTAAGTGGGAAGGAAATCCACAAAAGAGAGGCTATATCTGTATGCAAAGCTGCTGATTCACTTTGCTGTGCATCAGAAACTAATGCAACATTGTAAGGCAACTATACTCAAATAAAATAAAATTTAAAAAGAATCATATTCTCCTGAATAAGTATATGTATTGTAATCTGTTAGCTGTCCATGTTCATTCTTTAATTCAATAGTCACCTATATAGGTAAGCCAGTGTACTAGATACTGTTAGGAATCCAAAGACAACAGAATCAACTTGAGCCTAGCAGACTATAAATCAGATAAGTATCTGGTAATTTTGTTTATATTTGGTTGGCCAAAAAGTTTGTTTGGGTTTTTGCATAACATCTTAGAGAAAAACCTGAATGAACTTTTTGGCTAACCCAATAGTTTATTCATGGCATCATTATGTGTATCAATTTATTTAATTACACATTAAAAAAAAATAAAAGGAATTTCTTTCCATTTTTGTTAAAGGAGAAACACCCAGATATGGCTATAGATTTAATTGATCATAATATCTTAACTTTCCTGGTAGCTCAGATGGTAAAGAATCTGCCTGCAATGCAGGAGACCTGGGTTTGATCCCTGCGTTAGGAAGATCCCCTGGAGAAGGGAAAGGCTACCCACTCCAGTATTCGGCCTGGAAAATTCCATGGACTGTACAGTCCATAGGGTTGCAAAGAGTCAGACACAACTGAGCGATTTTTACTTTCTTTCAGTGTCTTATCTTGGGATTACTTATGAGTTAATCTGCCAGTTACAAAGATAACTTTAACAGCGAATGCCCCTACTTTAAGTATAGTCAGATAACCTAATTTCATGTAATTAGCTTCCTTTTTGCTTATAGGGAATGTAGTTGTTTGCTCTTGTATTCTTTTCAAATGTTAGTTTGAAAGCTATTTGTGTGCACCATTGGGCACACGTTTCTTTAACAATAAATAGCAAAGTTGTCATTAACCTACAGAAAGGAGGGCAGTTATAACTCTGCTTTCCTGAACTTGAGGCACCAACTTGATTAGAGAAGGGAAACTAAAGCCTCCACTTCTCTCCACTCTTTTCCCTCATCACAGCTGATCAAAGTCCCTTTTCCTATACAATCTACCAATGGGGAACAGATACTAGTTTGCATGAAATTGTATAGTGAGTGATTGAGAGGTCAGTCTCTGAAATTCAAGTCCTAGTTTTGAAACATCCTAGTTTGTATTACTGTGGCAGGCTCTAAATTCAAGCTTTGGTTTCCTCGTGTAAAAAACTGGGCACAACAGCATGTTTTGCAGGACTAGAGTAAATATTAAATAGGGCAATATATAAAAAGTGATTACATATGTTATCTGGCATGAGTTGAGTGTTAAATAAATGTTGATATGAAGCTATGAGCTATGCGGTCCAGTCTTATAGCAGTATAGCCATCAAAGCCTGGAAGTTGAAAAAAATCTAATATGCTCAATCTCCTTACTTATATTTAATAAGCCCCCTGAAGAGGACACATAGCCTTCGGCAACATTTCTTAAATCCTTTTTGCTTTTATACTTAGTCAGTTATTTGACTCACCTTAAAACTCCTGCCCCATAGACAAAAGAGCCTCTCCTCTTTTCAGTCTTCCCTCCTCACACAATTTTGAATCACAAAATAGCAAGGAAAGACTCTCTGGAGAGATCTGAAGCAGAAAATGAGCAGGCAAAATCAAAATTCTCTTAAATGATTGTTAACCACTATCTGATGGTGATCAAATGGCCAACATACTAATATACAAAAATGACTTCTACTTTCTCCCATCACATTTTATCACTTTGGATGCCCTTTTAAAAACCATCATTCAGGATCTGCAGCCAGAAAACTGAATCACTGACCAATCAGATTCAAAGTTTTGAAACTGCTAGTTTTGATGGTCACGGGAGTAGGCAATTTTGGAACACAATGCTCCAAACATTAATGAGAAACCATAATACCATTTAAAGTATGACGTACATTTGTATTGCACTTTATAATTTTATGAGTGTTTTCACATGTTATTTAACCCTACTCCCCACAAAAATCTTGCAAGGTTGGCGGATTGAGGGTAGTCGTCTCATGTTTAGTAAATGAGGAGACGAAACCCCGGGACACTGATGCGAGAACCGCAGCGAATGGCTTCAGCCAGAGAGTCAGGTGGGGCCTGGTCACCCAGCAGGCGGGCTGCAGAGGGGCACAGGAAGGGGGGGCCCGTCTTAGCCGCCCTGCCACAGACCCCAAGGGGGGGCGTCCCATTTGGTACCGACGCCGTGGCGCGCTGATTCTTGACATGCACCCTCCCAGGCATTTTGTGGACATCTTACAACACTGACACAAATGGAAGCTTATCTGCAAAATTCATTAGCCTAAGAGAAAATTCTATTAACACTTGCCTTGCCTTTCTTCTTCTCTGATACAAAAAACACAAATGAGTTAGAGAAAAAATTATTTTTTTTTTTTGAGAAATAGGGAATATTTTCTTAGGTTGATTTTTAATAACTAAGGATTGTTAAATATGTCTGTTGTGGTTTTTTAGAGCACAAGGATACCACAGTAAAGTAAGATCTTTTATCCCCCAGTAGAGAGCAATGGTACATTTTATTCAATACATTAAATTACGTAGACATTAGCCACAACATGTTGATTCAGCTTCACAGGAAATGAAAATCAGTACCATCTGTGTGGATAGTGGCTCCACATCACCGTAGCACACACAGTAATGTGTTCATTGCGTCTCAGCTCCAAAACCTCACTTTGTTAGAATGATATTATTGTAAACTTTTAAAAAGTCATTTTAATATGCATATAAAAATCCAAATTAAGAAGTAAGTAGTAGGTTTTGAATCCAGATTTTAAAAGCAATATTCTCCAACTGCTTTGAATTTGACTCACATTTGATAAATTTTGAAATTGTCATGAGATACAGATCTTCAAAGGATGTGAGATATGGCCCAAGTGCCTAGCATAGAGTCCAGTGCATAACAAGTACTCAAATTGTTTCTTTTTGAATTAATGAATCAGCACAAGATCCACTACTATTTCATAACATATTCTTAGAAAAAAAGAAACCTCAGTGTAAATGTACCCACTGACTGCAAGATGCACAATAATTTTTAAAATGTGAAAAAAAACCCATGAATAAGAATTTAGGGAAAGTAGTAGTTGTCTTAGGAGATGCAGGTATAAATGCATTGGAAGTTTGAAGAAGAGAGCTTAATTTCAGACGGAGGGACTAGATAACTTTTTAAAATTATAGTTATCAGGAGGGGCTGGTAGGATGGGCCCTTTTTATGGAGCTCCAGAATTCCTGTGCAGGAGGGCTTGAAGGTAACAGTCTGGTTGGGAAGAGGATGACTGAGTAACTAAGAAGCTTGTTCTAAAAATGCATCTGTTTAGCAAGCACGCTGACTTCCTTAAATTGTGTGTTTATTACCTGGAGGGCCTCGATTGAACTGGAGCTGAAACAGGGCTGATTATGTTGAATTAAAATTTTTTCCATTTTGGATATATAGGAATTTATGGCTAGAGCTGTACCTTTGTCTACTCTCTATTTTTCTAGTTGGCTATACCTATTTCACTTTGTTTAGTTTCTGGTGGCTCAGAGGGTAAGGAATCTGCCTGCAATTCAGGAGACCCAGGTTTGCTCCCCGGGTTGGGGAGATCCCCTGGAGAAGGAAATGGCAACCCACTCCAGTATTCTTGCCTGGAGAAATCCCTGGACAGAGGAGACGGGCTGCAGTTCATGGGGTTGCAAAGAGCTGGACATAACTGAGTTACCAACACTTTCACTTTCACTTTTTAGTGTAAGAGACTCAAAATCATCTTAGTTGAAAATAATCTCTGTTTATATTTATTCTATACTGTTACACTTCATCAGCTTCTTCTATATTCAGGAAATTTCCTGAGGGGACATCTTTGTCTTATCCATCTTCATACCCACAGCATTAGTTAGCATAGAGCCTGGCTTTTGGTAGGTGAAAATAAAGCTATCTATTAAAAGGAATGCCCTTGAAAAACATGGATGGTATGGTTAATTCTTTTGGGCATGTTTGCACATCAGGTCCTCTTTCTTTTTTTTTTTTTTTTTCAGGTCCTCTTTCATTTTGGAGACAGAATGATGAAACAAGACCAGAGGCCAACTTAGAGTCATAAATAAACGTCAGAAGAAAACCTGAGCTAGAATCCAGAGAATTCAAGTCCTGGTAGTGTATTTTGCACCATATTCTCCAAGTTCTAGCAAAATCACATGGATGTTCCTTGTATATGAATATGTCCTTTGTAGAAACTGGGTTGTTATTCTTTCAAATCTTTAAAAGTCAGACATGCGCCTTAAGCTGGTTTTTGGAGGGTAGGTTTTGACCTCTCTTGTGACTCCTGTTACATGCATGTGCAAGACAGCTGATGTGGGAGGGTGTTCACTTGTTTCCATGTAATTATATGCTATGGAGCCTCATCATTTCTGCTTCTTTAGTCCAAATTTCTTAACCAACTCCTTTCAAATTGGATCTTCAGTACAGCCATTTCAATTCTATAGCTTCAAAACAAAGTCATTTTAAGCCATTCATACATGAAAAAAAATATGAACGATTTCTGAAAGCACAAAGCAGCCATTTTCTTCAAACTCCAGTAACTGAAATAACTGAAGAGATTTAGTTCCAATTGCAAATAAATTCGCCTTTGGATTGAGATGAGGTAAGAAAAATATCAGACCCAAAGGTCGAAAGGAACATTTTGGAGTAAGTTATAAACAGAAAATAGGCATTTAGAATGGAAAAGCTGAACTCAACAATAAGATGGGGTCATGGCACCTTGGTAAGTATTTTTTATTATTTTTTAAAACTCACTGTGTTAACCCAGGGCTTTATTTTCACTGAGTCTAATTGAGAATATTTTAGTGATTTTTGTGTGTGCATTGTGTGTTTAAAGGATCGGGGAATGATACTTTGTACTTTGTTATGTCTTGTTTCAGAGAAATTTGAAGCTTATAGAAATCTTGGGCTAGATTTCTTCTCCATTCCCTACCTCTCCCTAGAAGACTTAGGCCAAAACTACCACTCTCTGTGGCTAGTATGGCATCAAATTCTCAGGGAAAAGTAACTGTTTAGAGGAACTAATTTTCCAAAATGCCCAAATTTCTTAGACTTCAAATAGTCCCAACGGAAATGAATACAAATTGCAAACTTGAAAGGCAGATAAGATGATTAGATGTGCCTGTCAATAGATAATTAACAGAAGCACATTTGTGGTTTATTGGAAAGTGTAAGAGCAATTGGAATGACTTTTGTTATTCTGCAGTTGCATGTTGGAGTTAAATCCTGTGTTTTCTGGAGCTGCAAAAGTCTGTAGTATGATATTCATCAGCATTTTAAATGTGTTTATTGAGTGAAAGGTCTCTAATTAGGAATTTGTTCTCATTCCAGTTGATTCAGGGTTAAAATATGTTTTTTCACCAGCTACTTAAAAAGAATTTCTAATCCAGTGATTCCGCTTCTGGCTATTTGTCCAAAGAAAACAAAAACAGGAATTCAAAAAGATATATGCACCCCAGTGTTTATTTATCATAGCCAAGATATGGAAGAAACCTAAGTGCCCATCAATAGATGAATGGATAAAGAAGATATATACATACACACACAGAGACACACAAACACACACACAATATGGAATAGTACTGAGGCATCAAAAGAAATCTTTTGTGACAGTGTGGATGGGCCTAGAGTATATTATGCAAAGTGAGTAGGTCAGAGAAATAAAAATACTGTAAGATATCACTTATATGTGGAATCTAAAAGACAAAAATTAACAAATATGATCAAACAGAAACAGAGTCAGAGATAACAGAGAAAAAATAGATAGTTACCAAAGGGGAGAGGAGTAGGAAGAGGAAAGAAATAGCTGAGGGAGATTAGGAGGTACAAACTTCCAGTTACAAAATAAATGAATCATAGCTACGAAATGTACATTGTGGGAAATATCATTAATAATTATGTAGCTTATTTGTATGATGACAGATGGAAACTAGACTTATGGTGATCATTTTGAAATACATAGAAATATTGAATCACTATGTTGTGCAAATATTCAAACTACCATACAATTGTGCTCATTTCATGTTGGCAAGGTCACGCTCAAAATCCTTCAAGCTAGGTTTTAGCAGTATATGAACCGAGATATTCCAGATGTACAAGCTGGATTTAGAAAAGGCAGAAGAACCAGAGATCAAATTGCCAACATCGGCTGGATCATGGAGAAAGCAAGGGAATTTCAGAAAAGCATCTACTTATGCTTCATTGACTACACTAAGGCCTTTGACTGTGTGAATCACAACAAACTGTGGAAAATTCTTAATGAGACGGGAATACCAGACCACATCACCTGTCTCCTGAGAAAACTGTATGCAGGTCAAGAAGAAACAGTTAGAACCAGACATAGAACGATCTCTTGTCCTAATTTTCCCACAACTGCACTGTAGCTTCTAGCAGTATCAGAGGTCTGGCCTTTCTGGAACCTGTCAGTCTCCATGCGTGTACCCTTGCTGTTCTCTGGGTCTGAAAAGTCCTGCTCATTAATCTCAGGTTTGAGTCAAGACTCAAACATTACTTTCTGGATAATGGGCCACTCTCCTTTCACTCCAAGCATAGGCAGGTAAGG